CATGACCTGAGCTGAAGGCAGACGCTTAACCGACTGAGCCACCCAGGTGCCCCCAAAACTGTCATCTTTGACCCAACTCCATCTTGTAATAGATGGGACTCTCTATGTGAGCCTAGAATGGCCTCTAAACTGTTTTTCCAAGTCTTAGCATCTTTATCTCTCTATGTGAACTCACCCTCACGTTGCTACCACTGGTCTTTGAAGCACTTGCATGGGAGAAAAACCCACCCAAAAGATGAATGAAAGAACTCCCTGTCTCCCAGAAGCCTCGACTTTTATTCAGGCACTCACCTCTGGCATCCCAATTCTCGGCAATGCTTCCAAACTATTAAACACAGCTTTTAAGTTTCAGGTGACCATTTTTGCCTGCAGGCTTAACAAAACTCAGGAAAGTGTCGCCAGGGCTGCGGAACTCAAAGGGCTGTGTGGGGAGATGAAAGGATGCACCAGGGTGCATCTGATGTGGTGGTGCAAACTGACTGATGTGGTGGTGTTTTTGTTTTTGTTTTGCTCCCCATCCACATGGACAGTAAGCATATATGATAAAAAGTGGGAATTAATATTCTCGATATGTTCACTTCCAGACATGGGGCCACAGAGTTTTCTAGTAGCTCTCCAGACCGTGTAGTTCTGAACCTCTGAGAAAGAGGGCTCCACTGGGCTCCCCCTCGAGGGTTTCTGCAATTCCAAAGCAGTCCCCGGTACACAGTGGTAACTGGAAGAAAATATCAGGTCTGGGGAGACCCGCTTTTGGGTGCCATTTGCTGTGCTGGAGATGGGAGGGGGGTAGAGGAGCTGGATTAGAGAAGTAGAGGAAGTAGAGCTCCTTTGCTTCAGAGCCCAGACTGGGAGAGGAGAGGTAGAAATAAAAGGTTTGAAGAGTAAAGGACAGTGGCTAAGGGAGGGTCCCTTGCGTGGTGCAGGAGGAGTCAGGTCGCTGTGCAGCACGAAGGGGCTGCTGTATAAACAGGGACGTGGGGAGAGCAGGAGAGACCCTGAAGAAGCACCCTGTGAGATGTGATGAATCGAGAAGGGATGAGTGGAAGGGGTGCGGAGAAGCAGGGGAGGCATAGGGCAGCTGCCCTGAGAGTAGAAGAGACTCGAGCAGACATTTATGATTGTCAGAGCAACTCAACAACCTAGAGGTAGACCTAGAGGGCTTGTTCAGGGGCGGTCATCTTTAGCTGTGGAAATGAGGAAAACCTGCTGTAGCTCCAGCTGGCAAGAGATTTAGAGTGGAAGTGAGTTCCCCGGAGATTTGGAGAAGGGCAGAGGAGGGTGTGTGGACCAGGACATTGGGGAAGATGGAGGGAGGTCTTCCTTGAGAACCAAAGGTGGCCTGCCTGCCTTTTGTGCCTGAGAGAGATGGAAGGTCAGATGTTGTGGTTGGAAACGGGGAGAGCTTCACAGGTGGGGATCGTGGCAGGTGGCGATGCTAATGAGGGTGAGATCCAGAGCACGTCTACACTGGCAGATGGATTATGTGGGAATGATGTGAAGGTTACCAGAATAACTTGGGGCAAAGAACTGTGATTCATGGTGAGTTTGAATCTGAGAGGAAGACAGGAATAAAATGAGTGGAAAGAAAGACCCTGAGGCAGGTACTGCTAGGCTGGGGGTAGGGACTTGGGGATTCGGGGCTAAGAAACCAAAATCGATAATGAATAACAGAGCAACAGAGTAAGAAAAGCAGTAGAAAAAGCCAGCCCTCCAAGTAGAACAATGCTCCAGAAGTGGTCATGAGAAATACTGGAACTCTTCCTCCTGGCCTTGTGGTTAGTTCGAGGGGGTGGTCTTCACCGCGGGGTTGTGAGGGAGGCCGTGTCACTTGGAAGATCCAGGCGCAGTTTTTGTGAGCAGGTGAAGGGGTGGTGGAGAGAATGATTCAAGGATGTAGGAAAAGTTTGTCCTTAGTAGGGTTTTTAAAGTTCCCAAAAGATCTGTGCAAGTGTTTAGGAGAACCTTTCTTAATCTTAGCTGCACAACAGAATAACCCAGGGAGCGTTCAAAGAAAAACCCCAATACCCAGACCAATTAGATCAGAACCTTTGGGTTGGGAGCCTGGAGTAAGTCTTTTTTAAAGCTTCCCCAACTGAGTCCTCTGTGCGTGGGCTGGAGAACTACTGATTCAAGAAGGGCGTGTGTGGGGGGCAGGTGAGCCTGCAGGAGGAAGAGGTGTTTGGAAAGGGGTTATTTATGGGCAATGGTGGCTGGAGAAGCAAGGAGATGGCAGAGGCTGGTGGGCCGTGGCAGGCAGGGTGCCAAGAAGGCAGAATTCAGGTAAGAAAGGGCCTTTCTGAAAATCAGCCCCAAGGTTCCAATTCAAGTGTGGGTGTTAGGCAGTGTTGCTGGGACTGAACTAATTGTCTCTTCAGTATGTTGGACAGACCGTTTACCTGTAAATAGGATTTTGGTATTTTTACATTATTAAAAGGTACAAGAAAGCCTTATCCATTATTCATATTTGTTTTGGTCGAAGTGCTGGATCCCCAGGTGCTGAGAATTTATAAATGTCTTATTTGGACAGCACTGACCCTGATTCAAAATGCTCCCGGGTTGTTTTCACTGCGTAAACCTGTTTGTCAGTCTTTCTTGGTGTTGACTATTTGCATTTCTTTTCACTAATTAAAACAATTAAAATTATTTTATTGAATTATTACTTTTTTTTTTTTTGCACGGATTTGTGTGATTCTGTTGGGAAGAAAGGTCAAGAGTGCCTAAGGATAAGACTGTGTGAATCAATATAAAATACATGTATCAAACATTTCAAATATGATGTAGATCTTCTATCGTGTGCTTTTTACAATGATTTTTCTCAGAGTGGTTAAAAGATTTGCCTTTAATCAGATCCACGGCTCCACTACAAATACAGTTTTCCCTATGCAGAATTTAAGCCTAGGATGATTTCCATCCTGACGGCCTTAGAAGCAGCACATCTGCAAGGAACATAAAAGAAATAACCATAAGCCTGACACTACAGTTGCATGTTCCCATCATTTATTCAACATCAGAAACTCTTACAAGGTCACCCATCAAAAATAGATCCTGTGTCTCATCCCCTCCGTGGACCCAACCTGCAAAACTCTGCCTTCATGACCCAGAACGACTTTCTGGATGGAAATTCCAGAAGGAAATACTTTGATGTGTAGAAAAAAATTCTTCCCTTGGCTTCCTGGACACATATTTTTTTCTCCCACCTCTCTTCCTCTTCTAGGTGCTCATCCTTCTATAGCTCCCTTTGCTGGCTGCCCTTGCTCACCCCTGCAATGGCAGGGCTCCCCTTGGTCCCCTATGTTCTAGGGTGTAGCTCTTTCAGCAACTCACACTAAGAGCGGAGTCTAGGCTTCAGCCAGCTGCCCAGGCATGAAGCCTGCTTTCTCCACTCAGTGGTTGTGTGAGCAAACTACTTAATTTTTCTTTGCCCTGAATTGAACATCTGAAAAAAATGGGGTTAATGGTATCTTACAGGGTTGCCGTAAAGATTAAATGAGTTAATAAGCATTTAGAATCATACCCAGCGCATAGGAAGTTCTTGGTAATGCTCGTTATTTTTAACAATGCTGTTTGTCTTATCCCTCTGCTCTTCCTCGATAGTCTCCCTGATCACAGGGATGACAAGATCAATATTATATAATTGGTTCCTGAGTCTTTACTTCAGGATTTGCTCTCGGTCCAGAAAGCCACACCCATATTTCTAACTGTCCCTTGGGCATCTTTGTCCTGATGTCCAAGACATAACTCGAACTTGATGTTCCAAAAGCCAAGTGACCATATCCACACCCCAAAACTCCCTGCCCCGTAAGTGTGCTACTGTTACTTCGAGGCACACTTGATATTTTGCTCCACCCATTCGGTGTTGGTCACCCGGTCCCACAGGAGTTACTACGGGACCTTCCACACCTTATTCTCTTCTTCTCACTCCTCCGTCATCAGCCCAAATCTACCACGCTTTTCTTCTTGACTCTATCTTTTCACTGATGTCAGACTAGTGTTTCTAACGTATATTTCCAATCATGTCTTTCGTTGGTTTAAATCTCTCCACTGGCTCGCCAGTAACTCAAGACACTGAATCTCAACTCTTCTCTCTGGCAGTTGAGGTCCATCTCAATAAAACTCCTATGTATCAGTCTGGGCTTACTGGAAATAATAGGCTTGTATGGAGTCTGTATTTACTGTTCCCGCTGTGTTTCTTCCTGCTGTTCTCTTCACCTAGATATTTTGTATTTGTTCCCATTAAGCTGGTCAAACCCTACCTTTCATTTGGGCCAATTTCAAATATTAGCTCCTTCTCAGATGTCCTGAAAATAATACTATGCCCCTCCCCCGCTGAACTCCCTCCCGTAGAACTTTGCATTCGTCTCCTCCATTTATCAGACTCTGACTTGTCTCCCAGTCCTTGGCATACTTCTTTTATTCCTCCTTCTAGGTCATAACTTCTTCAAAGGCACTTACTATATCCTTTAAAGCTTCAAATGGGATAAAATGAGTCGCAATAATAGCACCAGGAATTAAGCTCATTTATTCTGTAAAGCAGCAGGCTGTTGTCAATGCTAACCCTCTTCCTCACAGTCCTCATAAAAAGAATGGGAAAGCATATAAATGAAGTGGCACACAAGAGGAACATACAATGTGAGCAATTATGCCAATTCCTTTTATAGGAAGCACACAGCTGAGATAAACATGGAAGCACCTTATTTACCATCCACATCTCGTTGCCAAATTCTTCTACTTCTTCTAAATTTTTCATTAAAGGAAATCAAGGAAGGTAAACAAAAGTAGCCCTTGGGAGGAATCAGCACAATGGAAACCACTCACTTATCAGCATGGCCTCAGAGAAATGTCTAATTTTTTTAAAAACATCTTTTGGGGCCAGACACTTAGGTTCGCGCACTTGGGCGCACAAACACACACCCACCTTCTCTGGCTGTGTGCCGCCACACCACACCCTGGCTTCGGTGTGATGGTAAAGAAGGAGGTTCGTTTGGACAGGAGCGACTTACCTTCAGGGCGTCCTGGGTGTCGTCCAGACAGTAGACTCGAACACTGTACTCCAGAGAGGAGCAGCAAAGTGGCCCGAAGATAGCCAGCTTCAGGCGCTTCGCGGCAGCTTTGGTGGTGGACTGCCCGACCAGGGCATAGGTGCTGAGGTTCTCTGTGAGGAGGTGGCAAGCCTTTGCATCCAGCTGAATGTAGCAAGGGGTGGTGAAGTTTTCCTCCCCAACCACCACCACATCCTGAAGGACAGGAAGGAAGGGGCCGTGGTTGAGCCACTGCGGGTCCCACTGGCCGCCATGGTGGTGGCCAGGCAGACAGAGCAGCACCTCTTCTGCTAAGTGTGATCATCCTTTTCCCTGTATTTTTTTTTTTTTTTGCCTTTCTCAGGCTTTATTATACCCTATTTCCAGTCTTAATCATTCTCTCCCTTCCCCTTGCCTTCATAGTGCTAATATTTTTTATTTAGATGTCCCCTATTTAGCATTTTTTTCCAACTGCGAGTCTACATTACTAGAATCGACATAAAATTCCAAAAGAAATTCAGGAATTATCCTCTTAATTTCAGTGTACCTGAGTTTATTACCCATTTCTGAGAATTTAATGTTTTAATCTCTAAGTGTCTGATTAAATCTAAAAAGTACTGTTTTCTTTCTTTCTATTTTTAAAGATTTTATTTATTTATTTGACAGAGAGAGAGAGTGAGCACGAGCAAGGGGAGCTGCAGAGAGAGAGGGAGAAGCAGGTTCCCCAGGGGGAGCCTGACTCAGGGCTCAATCCCAGGACCCCATGATCACGACCTGAGCCGAATGCTGACATTTAATGACTGAGCCACCCAGACACCCCCCAAAAAGTACTGTTTTATTTCAATGTCATTATAGAGTAGTAAGTTTTTCCCTAAAAATCTAGGGGTTTGAAAAGGTTTAGAGAAATTAGGGAACTATGCAATACCATTCTACTGTGTTTTTCCAAACTCACCTGTCAATTACTTTTCAAAGCAATACACTGCTTTTTCTCAATAATCTGGGCTGCTAGACCCTAGGGAAAGTACAATATAGCAAACTCGATGCTTTTCTCTGGTTAAACAGCCTATCTCTTTAGCTTTTGAAAATATTTAGCAAGAAAGACAAATAAATGGAAGTGTTGAATATTGTTAAAATAGTTACGAACTCAACTAAGTTTTGATTTATCCAAATGACTCAGGCCACAGAAGAATATCATCTGAAAGACCAGGTGTAGGACCCATAAACCAAGGGTCAAAATTCCACGTGCGTCCCAGGGCAGCCAGGTAATAGGTACCAGGTAGGGCAGAAGACAATAGGGAGTGGGGGAGACTGGGGTAAAGCGGAGCACAAGCCTGTCTAAAGAGCTCTTGTCTCCACTGGGCTCAGCCCATCAGAGCTATGCAGACATGCAGGCCCAGTAAGAAAACCACCTTGACTTTTTCAAGAGAAGCTGGAAGTTCACATTTTTATGTGAACATTTCCAACTTTTAATTAATTCAAATTTAAAAGAAAACTCCATGTGGGAGAAATAAAGTACATGTGTGGGCCTGATTCCACCTCTGCACTAGGCTACTTTCTCTCCACAGAGGCAGGCACTACATCGGCTTTGATTCCTACCGCAGCTCAGTGGGCCTGGCTCATGGGGAGCAAACGGCTATTTGTCAAAAAAAAAAAAAAAAAAAATGAATGAATGTGTCATCATAAATTGAGTCTCCGGGGCTGAACAAAGATATGAAAGAAGATGCCACCTCGGGTGGTTATTAACTTGCAACATCATCTGACGGGTAGTAGGAGGGGGGTTTAATGCCATCCACGAAATCATTTCTTCAACTGTGCCTGTCCTCGAAGATGAAGCTCAAACTGCACTGGCAAAGAGAGAAAGAAACTCAGTACCTTCAGGTTTATTTTAGCCCCAAAGGACACCTGGAAAGAAGTGCTTTTTTTTTTTTTTTTTTTTTTCCTCCAGCAGGGTGAGGGCAAGCCTCAAAAGCCCATGAGGCATGTCACAGAAAGCTTCCAGTAAGACATGGTTGAGAATAAAGATGCACCATGTCCCTGCCATGGGTGGGAGAGCATACTCTTAAGCATTGCCCTCTTCTACTCTTGTCTCTTTATTTCATTTTATTATTTTTGTTACTATTATTATTACTGAAGTCTAGAAATAGACAGGTATTAGGGTATTAAGCAGAGTCTTGTGCAAACAATTTAGAATCACTTGAGATTAAGACTTTGGGATGCTTTCGAGATAAATCATTTCAAGCTTAAATGGACTGGAAGTTAGATCTGGTTAAGTCTGTTCATAACCCAACATAAAGCATACCCTTAGACTTGAGTCCTGGACCTTCAGTCCTCTGGCAAAGGGTGAGATCCCCTCATGTGGCCAAGAGAACATGTCCTTAGGGAGGAAATTACAGTAATCCCAGGGATGCCTTTCTAATTGTAATACTGCTTTTTTCCCTATAATATTAAAGGTTTGAAACTTCATGTACATTTTTTTCCTAAAAATGTCTTTCCTAAAAGAAAAATACCACAAGCAATCACAAAGTATATAATATATAGGTTGGATGCTTTGTAACGATCACACAAAAATACAGGGGTAGCTTTCAAAACTATTAGACATTTTTTGATGAACATATTCCTGAAATATGTCTCCTTGAGAATATTCTAAAATGTAATGTTTAATTTGGCTATTTCCCACTTAAACAACAGATACTGTCTTTTCAAGAGATGACAATGCAAATACGCAAGCCGGTTTTTTTAGTTACTAGGTATAAAATCTTCATCGTAAATCTAACAAATTCTTTTGCTCGTAACTTCAGGTGCTAATTGAAGAGTTCTGATGTAAAGAACAGGATCTCTTTAAGGCACTGTCCTTAAGAAGTTATGATGGCAACAGCCACAGAGAGCCAAGACACCACAGGTGTTCTTCATCCTAGTGGAGCTTAGGAGATGCACCCTTACTGTTTTCCCAAGTTCAGCTCAGAAGAACTGTATTCCCCGTATGTGTCTACAATGTCCACCACTTTCTGACCCAGGAGCAACGTTTCTCTATCTGCAAATTTAAAAAATACATAGATGTTTCCCAACCCAAGACATAGTATGTATGTTCCGACAGGGACTTGTGTAAGACTCTCAAGTGTACTTTCCCTAGGAGTTAGCTAATGCCTGACCATCATTTTCATTGTGCCTACCCATCAGTAGATAAAGCATTCAGGAACTAGGCTCTCTCCCTCCCTTCTCATACACTCTCTCGCTCTTTCTCTCTCTCCTTTTGAGTATAAGCTAAAATTCCATTCATGTTCTGCTTTCAAAATAAAAGCCTTCTTTCCCATAATTACTCCAGTTTGTCTGCATGAATTGCTCTTGTGTTCCATCTTTATCCCAATGGAAGCTCACCTCCCACTGTCCCTGTGCTGCCTGGTTCTTGAGCTGTATCTTCCAGTCCTCGGTATTGGGGTCTGCGCAGTGATGCATAGTGAGAATGACGGGGCGGGTCAGCAGGGCTCCTGGAGGCCCACAGCTCACCACAGGGGTCAAGAGTGTCTGGCTGTCTTCCATGGCTGGTCTAGGAGAAGAGCAAAGATTGGCATCAGTGACATTTCCATAGTATCCACCTACTATGAACTCATCAAGATTTTTAGATCTGAAGTTGTACAAATTGTTTCTTCTTGGGAGTTTTTGTATTTTAGTTTTTTTTTTTTTTTGGTTGGGGAGGAGAGGCACAATTAAATGGGAAGACATGTCCTTTATACTAAGACTTTATTTAATCTTCAAGACTGGAGATACTTATGATAACAGTGAATCGGCCAGTATCTCTTTGATCCCCTTCCCCCAGACACAGGTCTGCCTTTGGTAATGTCCTCTGAATTCAGGTACTGATACTTTTAGGATGGAACAAGAAGGAACAGAGTCCTTAGGAGGTTACATAACCATCTTTTCTGATAATACTTGCCATTGCTCTTACAGGGTTTTATATACTTTTGTTTTTTTAAGACCTAACTTGAGAAATACTTCAAAAAGAAATCACTTCAGAGTAAGGACACCCTAAAGCTAAACTTCCAAATGACTTTCAGGAATAATTCAGGCTAGTAGAGCAGATTCCTTCTTTCAAATATGACCAGACAGAATATAGAACTGTATTCTATAGTTCTAGAATTTAAAATGAAATCTACTTGTATACTTCCTACTCAGAGAATCTAGGTGGAAGAACTTCAAAGATCTAAATCAAAGATCTAAATTCTTTATCTCCACATGTTTTCTTAATTGTCTTAAGACCTTTCCCTAACATGACTGTAATCAACAAACAAATAGAAAAATTAACCTAAGGTATCAGTTGATATGTGAGCAATAGTCCCAAATTATTGAATGGATTGCCCAAAGTCTTCCAACTAACAAGTGCTAGCACTGGGACTAAAGCCAATGCCTTCTCAACAACAATACTCAACACTACTCTGTCAGAACAGTGTGGCTAAGAAATCATGAGCTCAGAGTTCCAGAGGAAGCAGGGCCTCTGGGGTCAACAGCACCACTTTCCATCCGAAGTAGGAAGCATATTCTACAATATGCTGACATATGGACAGTGCTTTAGACACATCCAAAATTGTACTCCACTACTACTGAGGGTCACCTCATATATTATCAATTCAAATTTACAAAACGTTCTTAGGATAAACACAATCTGCCTTCCTGACACTTCTCTTCACATATCTTTGGCCTGCTTTCTCTCCACTTTGGCATCAGAGCCTTTCAAATATCCAGAGACTGTTATGATGCCTCTAAAAAGTCTTCTTTATTTCAGACCAAATATCCTCAATTTTTCAACCTCAACTAGAAAAGCATGGTTTTCAGATATCTCCCTATATTTCTATCTTCACTTTGACATAGATGTCTGTTAGTATTCCAATGTCTTCTCTAAAGTGAGGCATCTGGAAATGAATATTAGACTTAAGTAGGCAGCAGAGGGAGACTACTATTTTCCTTGATTTGGAATATGTAGTTATATCAATGCCTCACCAGATTGTTGCCTTATATTATTCTCAGCCAAGTAATTATTTGTAAGTATTATTGCAGGCTTGAGTTATAAAGGAAGATGGAGATAATATGGTTAAGCATCTCCTTTATACAATGAGGCAATGAAGCTCCAAGAAGGTCAGGTAATTTGTTAAAGCTAACCACTCTGTGTATTCCTAACATGAAAGGTTCTTAGGCTAGGTCTCTATAGTTTTGTGGTTGCAGTGATGGCTTTTGAACCTATGTACAGAAATTTATATTTAGCCATTGAATTTCACCTTAATAGTTTCAGAGCAAATTTCAAGTCACCTATTTCTTAATGCTGTCTTTCCTCCAAATATCGGCCAACTCTTCCAGTCTTTTAGCTTCCATAAATCTTATATGCCTGCCATTTATGTTCTCATTCCAATCACTGATAACACTGTAGTACAAGAATAAGGCAAAGACCTTTACAAAGATACTACTTGAAACCTCTCTCCGGTCTGACATCAATAATTTGAATTTGTTGGTTTAGCCAAATGTAAACTAATCAAAATATACATTGTCCAATTCACATCTTTCCATTTCATTCATGGACATATCAAATTCCTTTATAATTGTTATGGCCACTTGGAAAGGATTTTCCTCTAAGATTTTTTTTCTTTATCTATAGTTAATATATTAAATACTAAATAATCTAGAAGGTAGCTTATATCTATAGCTCACTCTAGTTTAACACTCAGGGAATGACGGCAGCTGTTTTATTTATATTTATATATACATTGTTGGAAGATAATTCTCCGTGGGTCTTTCATGTTTCTGCATGTCTTTTCAAGACAACTGTAGAGCAATCACCTCGGAAGATAAAGACACTGCTTTGGAGCAAATGGCAAGCATGTCTACTTCCCATTATAGAAAACTCAGGTTCTCCAAGCTCGGAGGTCCTTCCTGGAATGCAACCACTGAGTGTGTAGATATCCTCTGCTCCTCTCTTCATCTCCCTTTTGGAACTGGGGTTTTGGGAATTGGCACAAAAATGATAAAACTCTTGATAGTGCTATTGCTGTGAGTAACAAACTGTCCTTTATTTCTGACCCGGGAGTCTTGTGTCATCTATCAGCATCCACAAAACTGTGGCGGCTATGGTAAGGGCAAATCCTAGAGAGTCCTTAGCTCTTGACAATCATTATCCTTCTAACATATTTGACATATTTTCTCCTTAATAAAACTTGGTTATCACTGCTTCCTCTCCTTCTAAAATTTCACAAGGATCTCACCAACCTAGGGCTTTTCTTTCTTCTTATTTAGAAAATAAAAATAATTTTTATCTCCTTTTAGTCTTTACCATCTTTCCATCTTCAATGAATAAGGACACAGTTTTATTAAATCTAAAGTTATCAAAGTACTTGGGAATGTACTTTTTGGAATAATAAGATTATTGGCAGCTTGAGAAGTCTTTACCATCCGCTTTATCCCTTAGTTTTGATTTCCTCTTAACGCAGCCTTTCTTCCTTCCTTCCATTCTGAAATTCATTCTCTTAGTACATGGGTGAAGTTCTGGTTTCATTGTGGTGTAGTTGATATCATACTATCTGTCCTAAGCAGTAGCCTTATTCTTGCTAATTCTAGTTTTCCTACCATGGCGGAAAAAAAAAAATAGCAGTGACTACATTTTTGTGAGCACTACCCTTACCTTTTAGCTACAAGTGTACCTTGAGAAGTGAGCATTAAACTTTTAAGGGAGGAGATTTAAGTGGAATCCATTTCAAGTGGTCCTTGCAATATAGTTGGAGATTGGAAACATCTGTCTCTCAGTCTGCTGTTAGCAGCGGGTGCTGGAGGCAGAAAGAGGAGGGGTTCTTCTCATCACTGAGTTGGAACAGAAGGGAGAAGCCTCCCTGCCGGGTTGGGGAGCTGTCAGACCTGCACTCTCCAAGCACAGCCCTGGCATGCAATATTGATGGGCACCATTCTTGGAGGACGGATAGCAAGGGAAGGGAGGGGCAGTAGGTGTCAAAAGAATTTATTAACCCAGTGAGGTGCAAGAATGTAATGAATAGGGAAGTGGTGAAGTGGAATTTGTAATGCGGAATGAAAAACAAAGAAATAATGATAAGAATCTTTTTGTTTTCAAGATGAAAGAAGTAGTGTTGAAATTGGAAACATTTCCAAGCATATATGGAAGGAGTGACTTAAGGAAGATTAAGATTTAACTATGTGAAACCAAAGGTCAGAGCATTTAAATCCACATTTCCTTTCTTTACATGAAGAGAGGATATTAAAATACACAGAACAAAACTAGTGGAAAATAAATATAAATAAGCCTGACTCATGTTTTTGCAGAGAGCTCCACTCCTGTATGTCTTATGTGTTACCTGAGATATTTCAGCTAACATTCTCTAAATATTAACTGCAGATGACATGGAAATGAACACAAAGCAAAAATCAGCTGCAAAAGCAGCTCTTAAGTCAAAAGTCAGTAATGAATTAAAGTTTTCAAGGCTTTTCAAAGTCCAGAGAGGTGAATATGGTAAATGCTGGATGGATTCTGAAGCCTCTGGGACAAAGCCCCTCAGAGAGGAGTTCGAGTTTCCTGTCAGAGAGATTTTCTCATCCTTTGCTTGCTGTTATCAGTGAGGAGAACTTCTCCTACACAGAAGGGCATAATTTACAAAACTTTCATAAAAGCAATTGCATTTGCTGCTTACGGCACACCTGTAAGGGAATTAGGGTATTTGTATCACTTCTTTTTCCAGAAGAGGAAACTGAAATCTAGAGATATGAAAACATTTGCCTACAGCCTCAAAACTAGTAACAGGCAAAGCTAGATTTCAAGCACAAGTGATCTGGTTTCTTTCATACAGTGGTGTATTTGGGGTTGCTTATCTGATTCAGGGCCTTGAGACTTTTTTTTTTTTTTTTTTGGTTTATTTGCTGGAGCAAGCTCAAAATTACTTCTTGGAGAGAATCTATCTCCATCCACCTCTGTGTGGAGACAAGATGCCTTCTATTAACATACATGTCTTTTGTCAGGTCCCTTAGGATGACAATCCCACCCGAGGCTCAGCTGCCTTTTGAAGCACAGGGTTTCACATATAACTGGCAACTTGAAATATTTGCACTCTGGGTATCTGACAGGGAATATCTAACTCAATTGCTATCAAAAGCTCAATTGAGCAAAAAAAAAAAAAAAAAAAAAAAAATTATGGAAGCCACTCTGAAGGGCATGCCACCATTTCCCTAGACAAGCCAGAATTTATCCCTGGGTGAAGCCAGAACAGCTAAGTATCATGCTCTAACTGAACTGACGAATCGTTGTGGAATTATTTTACTGAATTTCTGCTTGGGCCTTATACCATCTACTTACATGGCGGGACACTAACGGAAGGAGCCCTATGAAAACTCATTGCTATTTTTATTTTAAGGATGTTGTTCATTGTATTAACAAAAAAAATGTTTTCTTTATGTGGAACAAAAGGAGAAATAACTGAACTTCTTTTGGGCATATTTTTCCTCATAGACACATGGATTTTGTAACTTACCACGTTCCCCTCTTGAAAACTTTGGAACAGTAAATTCATGACCTATTACCAGGAAATACCCTGGGAATCACATGAGAGGTTTTATACCTTAACTGCTCACCTGACTTTGTTATCTTTTCAAATCTTATTTTTTCTCATTTTCTCATTTTTTTCATCGAATTATTTATAATTTTTTTCCTCCCATTGTAAAGACTGTGTTTTCATAAATCACCTTGAACCATTTGTTTATAAGTAGGATTGTGGCATATGAACACTGTGGAGAACAGTGAGAGAACAAGAGTTAAATATACTTGGACTCCACTCTCCTCCCCCATACCTGTAAGCCTTTATATAGCTGTATGTTGGAATAAGGACTTGAGGACTAAAAAGGGGAATATCATTGAGTTTCACCGAGAAATAATAATGTCAACTACTATTTTACCAAGTTCCAAAAACATGTTAAATAAATGAAAACTTTCTGCTATATGATTACTTACATAGCAGAATTTTGGCCTGCTATCCTAACACACTATTTTATTATTTGTACTCAGTACCTATATATGATAGTTTACATTGTCTCATCACTAACTCACACCTTCTTAACTGGGATTTCATCCTTTGAAAAAATCCTAAAGGCCACCCATGTCCGGCAGTTGACAAATCCAGTGATTTCTTGCATTAGTCTTTCTCTACATTTTAATTTTAATAATACCTGTGTCAACCGCTTGACCATCTTGAAACTCTCTTTACTTTTGATTTTTTTTCCCACTATACTTACAATCATTCGTTCTTTCATTCAAAAATATTCATTGAGGAGCTGCTCGGTATTCAGCACCATGTCAGATGCAAACTCTGTATTTATCTGCCTGATCCTTAAAGTGTTCTACGTAGCTTGGCTCATCACACCTAAACCTTAAATAGGAATGTTTCCCAAAGCTCTCTCCCCTGTTCTCTTCTTTTTGCCTCTGCATTATTCCCCTCAGAGGATCCACACCTGGTGACTCCCCGTCTGCATCACCAGCATGAATCCCATACCCCTATCCGCACACTGCCCACCTCTAAATCAGAATTTGTCCTGCTTCCTGGAACCAGTTACGCTCACAATTTTCCCAGTGCCCAAAGCTCGGTTCCTACATATTCATATTGTGTTTTGACACTCTTCTGCAACACTTCTAACTGGTGGGGAAATTTTTTTTTTTTTTTCCTGAAACATATTTCACTTTCCATCCTCCAGACTCAGGCCTGGCTTCTTCCCCTCCCCCCACACACCTAGTTTATCGCCGCAGCTCACCCAGGCAGCCAGCCTCCAAGGAGTCTTCCTGTTCCCTCCACCAACTCGTCCAGCCTACCTTGTTCACCAGTTCAATCTTTAAAATGCACTGCTATTCTCGTATCACTTGGCTGCTCACAGACCTTTCATGGCGCCCCACAGTTTACCAAAAAAGTTCTATTTACCTTTATATTTGGAACGTCTAAGTTGATTTCCTGGCCTTTTGAGAAAACTGCTAAGCGAGGACAGAATATAGAGGAAGGGAAAATTAACATTGGTATTTTGAATTCAGATTATTTTTCAAAAAGAAATTACAAAGAGCAAAATTTCAGTCTGAGTCAGACTCATTTTTTTTTTTTAAACTGCTAATGAAAACAAGGCAAAAAGGCCCACGTTAGTGCCATGAATCATGGAAATTGTATCCACAGGGGAAACAGAGGCTTGGCGGCCTCTCCCGAGATCTGTAAAGCGGGAGAGGTAGAAATCATGAGCATGGCCTTGCAGCTTTGCCCCCTTGTCAGAGAAAGCTTGTCCCATCTCTGCAGCTCATTTAGGCTGCTCATGTGCCATTCGGGACTCTCTCTTAGAGCACATTCAGTAATGATAAGGCTCCCTTGTCATATCCACTCTGCCACATGTAATTAAGTTCACGCCTCCCTTTAGACAGTTCACATCAGCAAATGACCAGCTGGATACCAGCCAGCTGGAAAAACACCCAGTTTTGGATGCAATAAAGGGAATCGGAGAGAAAGAAGATAGGGGAAAATGATCAAAATTGTCCTACAAGTGACTTGAAGTAACATTCAGTATCTTCTGATGTCCTCCCAATGTCTTCTCTTAGAAGTTCTGTCTCAGATCATGTGAGGAGAGAAAGGGTGCTCAGTGAACAGTAGAAAGAAACTGTGTTCAAGAATACACTAGAGTAAGAAGCAGAGGCTCGGTGTGCCGTGGCGCTGTCTACAAAGGAGGGACGGATGGCCTGTGAGACAGCAGAAGAGCTTCGCGGTGAGATCACCTGGCTGTGAATTCTGCCTTCCCTCAGCTGTTAGCTGTGAAAACTCGGCTATGTGACTTGTTTTCCCTGGAGCACTAGTTTTTTGATACTCAAATTGGAACTCATTGTAACTCACAGAGTTGCAGTGAGGAATAAATGAAATTAAAAGTAGGGTGAATAAATGGAACTATGCCTTCTGTTACGAAGATAGCCTAAAACACATTTTTGTCATTGTCATTTTTACAAGAAAAACGCATCTGGTTCACAACAGAAAATAAGTGAAGAGAGGTATTTCTCATTATTTGCCACAGGTATCTCCTTGTGTGTGTGCCTTGATTCATGGTCTCTTGTGCGTATTTTCTTTTGAGATCTTGGGGGTTTCTTTAGCTTCATTTTTATAAACGGAACTTCTCTGATGTACACCGAGTTCAATAGAGTAACTCCCTCTGCATCTAACTTCAGGTGGCAGGGATGGCGAGAAGTGATTTATAGTTTCCTTTTCTTTAGAGTCAAAGGCAGAGGAACCTCAAAGCAGAAGTGTCTAGCTTTATCAGTGTTTTGTTTTGTCTTTCTTTCATCTAGAATGCACAAGGATTCTGGCCAGGGTGCTGGCTAAGCCATGGAAAGGAAAACCATACAAGGCGCATGAATGCACACACCCTTCAGCCTCAGTGTGCCCCTGCCGGCAGCCCTTTAAGGCTTGATGGTGGTGGTCAGATGGACAAGAAGAGACATGAACACCTCATTGCTTCTCAGCATAAAGCACAAGCCAATCCTCATTTCTGTTTCAACAAAATGTCTATGTTGGCAAAGGCCTTGAGGGATGGATGTACTTGGTGCCAACCGTGACTTTTGACAGGAGGAAGAAGATAGAAAGTATACACAGGGATCTGAGAGTTTGCTGCTCTTCATTTTTCCTGCCGCAAAAGGGCGCGCTGAGGGCCTGTGAATGTTACTTTGCATTGAGAATGAAAAAAAATGAATATTTGATGTGAGTAAACATGAGCCTTTTAGTAATTTTCTGTTGCTCAAATTTAAGGCATGAATGATACTCAAGGAACTTTGTCATTTTCTTAGACCGGCTAGTGTTTGTCTAGGTGAAAGTACACCACCTGAGGAAAAAAAAGTCTGGGTCCTACAGATTATAAATACCAATATCTCTTCCTGAGAGCATGATAAAAGAGCTTCTTGGTTTTTGAAGAACAAGACTAAAAATGGATGTTTTTCTGAGGATGAGAGAGGGAAGACAGAAGGTATAATGTGTTATAATGATAACCTAGTTCAACATTTGTCACTCAGGCTTTGTATGTGGAGCTCAGGGCTGAAGAGCCAGTGCCTTTCCCCTTGGGAAAAACAATGATAATTACATGTAAGGATCTTCATTTCAACGACGTCTTTCATTTTAAGATCTCAGTGTACTTCAGAAGCATTAATCAGTCAGGCCTTTAAAGCACTATTTAATACACGCGTTTTATGTGGGAACTAACCAAGAGAGACCATTTGTGAGATTTGTTAGAGGCCAGACTGAAAATTGAATTTAGGACTTCTAAACTCCTCTTGTTATTTTTACTTAAAATCACCTCATCTTTATGATTATGACACATTCACAACAAAGCCTTGTGATCCAATCTAGCTTTAATCAACCCTAGATCAACATTTAGAAAGGCTTGATATGGAATTTGTAAGTGCTGAACTTAAGAAGGAGGTTGATAACAGTTAAGCTAGGGGGACTCACAAAAAGAAGAAGCGCAGGTGAGAATAAAGTGCCAGGCTGACATGGGGGTGGCAGGTCAGAGGTTAAGGGGTTGTCTAATCTCTGTGACCTTTGACCCTATAATGGGAAAGGGCTGGATTCCTGAGCCAGGCCACATGAAGCTGATGTCTCTGTGTCTACCCACGTATCTCTCTAGACAATCTACGGATCACATTTCTGGCCATTTTTTTTCCAGCTATAATGGCCACATGTCCACTTGAGAACTCAAGATTTGCAAAAGTGTCTCAAGCTTCAAAGATAAAGAGAAGCTGACCTTTTAGAGGTCTAGGAAAAAAAAAAGGGTATGCTGGAAGCAGGGCACTCAAGACAAAACTATGTTGGGTGTATTCTTTCGATTGCACAATTCTCCTCCAGGTCAGACATTGATAAAGTCAAGCGCACCAGAAAAAGCATATTTACCTCATATTTTCTTTCCTGTGTACAGTCACATACATTTCGTAGACTCTCCCTTGGGGAATGGCCCCAGCGGGAATCAGCAAGCTTACTCCTGAATAGCAAAAGAGAAAAGCAGTCACATAAGACCTATGAATCAAAAGGAAACTTCACAGAATGCCTTTGAAGCAAGTGAAAGGGAATGAGGAGATTTTGTGGCCATGTAGCCACAAGCCTGCTTTTTCTCTAAAGACATGTAAATATTCATAGTTGCCCTGCCTTCCTTCCTTATTGGCCTTATTTGTTAACACAGCTCCCTCTGAACTGTTATGGAATTACTCAAAGGAATGATGTCATTTTTTTAAACTCTTGTTTTATTTAAGGAATAGACAGATGGTTCCCCTGTTGTTTTCCTTGTAAAATGAGGGGAAAACCAACAACCGCTCGTAAAATTTCAAACAGCTGTAAATGATGCATCGTTTCTAATTTAAGAAAAAAAAAATCCCCACAAAATTCAAAGTCAGGGAAATGCTAACCTCCGTGATATCAAAAAATATTTATTTCTGAAATATCTGGTTAGCATCAGTGTTTTTCCGTAACAGAAAAATAACTGGCGAACAACTTCTTTCATCATGCATAACTCTAGAAAATGAACAGACAACTGCTAGTTTTTAGTCATGGCAGGCCAAGCAGGTTTTTACATAGTTGCTAACTGATACCATTTTGTAGGCCTAGGGGATCAAGCTTTGTTCTAAATTAACTGGGCCTACAGCGGTGCTTCTCGATTTGAGCTTGTATCAGAATCACCTGGAGGGCTTGCTAAAACACACATCACTGGGTCCCACATTCAGGGTTTCTGATTCAGGGGGCCCAGAGAATTTGTACTTCCCGTAGGCTGCCAGGTGACACCAATGATGGTGGTCCGTGGACACACCGTAAGAAGCTGCTTGCACCACTGCAGCATCATCACGAAGAATAAGTCAGGGTGGGCAGCAACTTGAAGATACTTGTCTCCATGATTTTATTCCAATGAATGGGGCTTCTGTTTTCAGCTCAATAAAAATTTATGGAGCACCATGGTGAGTATCATGTTTGGCAGAACCATGAATGCCAAGAAGTAAAAGACAGTGTTCCTGTCTTCGAGTAACTTATAATTTAATTAGCGAGGACATGGAATATGCCAAATGAGCAGAGGGCAATAAGGAAACTTGCCCGACCGTGTTGGAAATTCCCAAGAATAAAGACTGGAGAGTGAAGGAGGAACAGTTATTCAAAGGCCTTTGTGTAACTGGTTGAAAATGAGTCTTGGCCTTCTGGAGAAGAAAAGTTAACATGAGAGCTGTGGTGCTGTGGGAAGCAGAATGTCATCCTCGGGTATAGAATAGTTTGCTGAGGCACAGAGTGGACGCAGGAAGACCACTCATGAGCCTACCAACCCTTGGCATTTTTATTTTTTTCTAATGGAAACAATAACATGTACCTTTATGTTATAAGAATGAAATAAAACTATGAATGTAAAGTAGTAAGAGTAAGGCCTGACACAGATTAGGTAACTTTTTGTAAAATAATGTATGTAAATCACCACTGCCTGGGACATAGAAAGTATTTACTACATGCTACCTCCCTCCTTTCCACTTAAGAAGGCTTTATAATAATTCATATATGAAAAAATGACAGGTGCAGAAATGGGAAGGAAAGGTAGAATCCAGTGAATATCATGAAAAAAAAAAACTGCCTTGAGAGTAATATCATGTTTAAGCAATAAAAGAACAATAGAGTATATTTTGATCTATTTATTTGATAGAGTTATTTGATAAAAAAATATATTTTTAAGTTCATAATTTTAAAGAGCATACAATAGCATGAGAAGTAAAGAGAAAAAGGTGAAAAAAGCATATATAATGTATGAACTCAGCTATGCAAAATGTATAGATAAAAGGAAAAATGATATTCCATTAAGGATTTTAATTTATTAAAATACACTTTTAAAGGGATGGTGTGACAAATTGGCAAGGCATTGCAATGGGGGACTGAATAAGAGAAAGAATCAAAGACAAGTTCATATTGTTCCCCTTGTTCGGATAGTACTTGGCTGTATGGCTGTTTACACATTATATTATTTTCTTATGCTACATGAGGACTTTAGGTCAATCAAATTGCTTCTTATTGCTGTATTTGCAAAATACTCAGTCTTGTCCAAAAGAGTGAAGATAGATTCACAGAGGAATCCATTAACCCTCTTAGGACCAATAGACGTAAACCCCTTCCTGTTTAACGAATATCAAACTTTAATCAAACATTATCAGTCACTCACTTAAATTCACCTTGTAAGACCTTTATGAGACTTATCTTCTAGAAGCAGGTAACTAAATGATAAGCTGAAAATTCAATTATCTTACAAATACATACTACACTTAATAATAAGGCTGTGATTCCAGACAGATCTATCAGAAGTGGGATTGAGTACCTTACAAATACCTTGAGGTTGGAGACTGTGTAATAAAGAGTTAATAAATGAAGATCTGATGTCTACCATGATGTCCTCTGATCTGAAAATAGTATTCTGAAGTATTGCTTCCTACAGTAAATTGGAAGCTACCCAACTAATATGTTTTCTAATTAATTTGTCCTTTTAAAGTGTGATGACAACAGTGAGCACTTCTGGCTTGCTGTTGCCTTCTGAAGCTCTATTACAAAGAAGGTCAATGACAGTTCTAAATTATACCTTGGCAGAAAGTTGTGAGTATAATATTTCTAGAGGAAGCATTTTCAGAGTCGGTTGGAGAAAGATGAATGGTTTTGCTGATTTTGTCTGAAGCAATGTTGATTTACATCGAAAGTGGATTTGGGTTAGATTAGGCTACAACTAACGCTTTAGGCCTCATGAAAACAAACAAGTGAAAAAGATTTGGGTACAAAAATATGTTTTCAAGATCTGTAATTTAAACGTCTAGGAATTACCTGAATTGGGAACAATAAGGTGACCCCCCAGAGAGTTGAAGGTGCCAAACGCCGTACAGGATGGGTCAGTCTGCCTTGCTAGACTCTGATTCTTCACATTGAGGGCCTCGTTCTCCAACAAGGATTGGGTCATCTGAGGAGACAGCTTTGATGCAAACTCAGAGAGGTCATCTTGGGGGGTGACTGCACCTGAGGTGTTGTAGACTTTGATTTTCAGGTTGGGCAGTGGATCCAGAATTGGAGAGTTAGTCATTGGGATTTTGTCTGAGACATCATGCAAAGCATAGACGGGTCCTCTGTACATGGCTGCAGCTGATGTGAGGTCTGGGGGTACCACCAGGAGATCTGAGTCAGAAAGAGAAAGGACGTCCATTTGCATCCTCCGTTCAGGCTACTTCTATTTAGTCAGGCTCCCCCCGACACTTTCTAAGCCAAAAACAAATGAACTCAGTCAATATTAGAGATGTATAGACTCTAAGGTTCTGTTGAAAACAGGGCAATGAGATTACTGTGATCCATTTTATTATTGGCTACAAACAAAGAGACAAGTCCATTCTAAATTTTGCTTTCAAGTCTACTCATTGCCCCTAAGGTATTTATCTATTTCAACAGACTGGATTTGAAGACAGTGATCCCCACTCAGTGACTTAGGTAATAGTTTTCCTTGTCTATACTGGATTTGAGGTCATCCATCTGTACACCACTCTATTCATATTAACGCAAGTGGTTTGTCAAGAGGCCAGGAGAAAAAAAAAAAAAAAAAAGGAGACGTAAGAAATCAGTCAACCAATCTGTGTGGTCTTTTAAAGTGAAAGTTTTAAAAAGTATGACAGAGAAACCTGTTAAGAAAAAAAATGATTTGTGCACCTTGCCTCCTCTGGTTGGTTATATGAATGAAGTCAACAGAATAATGAATAAAACAGACCCAAATCCATGTCTTCATGGAGCTTATGTTCGAGCCGAACAACATGACCTGAATGTCACTGATTCTGACACCACACAGGGAGGCTGCTGACATGCCTACATCGCAGGTGTGAAGTGCAATGTTAACTGACCTTGTCTCGCTGCCTTGATGTTCACAGGCTGAAAGCCTCCATTGAGTGCCGAGGAGTCAATGATATCAGACTCAAAGTCGCGATGGTTCTTGCGATACACAAATAGGGCCACCACTACAGAAATGGCCAGGCAAACTATCACAGCTATCACAATGCCAACATACAGAGCGACATCATCTGAGTCAGGAGCAGCTGGGGAGGACAAGGAAACATCAGACCAACTGCTTAGAGAAATTTCCCACAGTACACATCCACATTGCTGTAATTTTTTCAGACATTTATTGCCTTTTTTTTATAGGTTCATTTCAAATCTATTTCAAAAGCTATATAAAACGACTGTGGCCTTTCAGTGGAAAATTATCTCTGATTTCTTTTCCTTTCTCACTCTGCATCTATCCACCCACTAATCTGTCTTAAATTGGGCAGCATAACAGACCATTTATTAGAAGGCATAAAAAGAAACTGGAACTGAAACCATCCCAACCCACAGGGAAAAAAACAAAGTTCATTACTAATTTCAGGTGAAAAAGTTTGGAAGCCTGCTTTGAATTCACTGATATTTCTCCAAAAACATAAACATAAATACTGTTAGAACTATCCGGCATGTCCTGAATCTGTGTATTTATTGAACTAGAATATTTTCCTAAGTATCATTCCAAGTCATAAAATCACTTTCCATAACAGTCTTCTCACTTTCCCCTAAATCAAGGAAGGGGTGGCTGGGAATGGTGTACATAACTAAGCAAAACAAATATTAGAAGCAAACATGTTGGATTTAAAAGGTGTGCTTTCAGAAGACCCAGATCTGGGAAGCAGAGGTCGATGCCGATAACTCTAGGCTTTTGATATGGATTCGGTATTACCTCTGAGAACCGTGAGCTTCTCATGGTCACTGGTCAGAGATTTACATTTGAACTACTTGTTACTGAATCAAATATGTCTAGATGGTGCACTGAGTACCATAAAGGCCTGGTTCAGTGATCAAAAAGGTCAGACTACCCCAGAAGGCAATTAAGCATTTGACCAATACAGTGTGCAGTCAGTTGGGGCTCTGTTTCTGGGTAAAGCCAGAGGAAAATTCCTGTAAATGTTGCATATTGCCTTGGTGGCATAAGACATGCTTCGATCCAACCCCAAAAGGTGATAGAAGCTGATAAATGAAAAAAATGAATAAAATGAAACCTTTCTAAGAACTCCACAGGCACCTTTAAGTCTGTTTTTAGTTCTGTGTGACCCACAGACACTTTCAGCAAAGTTAACCAAAGCTTTTCCAATCACTGTAAAAGAGGAGATTAGACTGGTATTTCAGGGGGTCAAGAACAGCCTTTTTCTGCTCCATTTTATATGCACATGCATTTTGGGGGGAGGGAATTTTCAGATATGTAAGTCCCAGGGCCTCCTAAGAGTTGAGGAGCCGTGATTCTGTCCTAAAACGCACAGCCACATAGTGGATATGGGCAAATGACTCGTCATGTAGATTGCCAAAGGCTCACCCAAACTCTGGGGTCTTTGACATGTTTCTTTGACACATGGACAGTATAAAGGAATTCCCTGTTGGCAACTGCTCCATCTCTTTCAGCATTTTGTATTTAAATGCACTGTATGTGAGAGGTTTCGTTTTTTTGGGGGGGGTTGTTTGTTTTTTTACTATTATCTTTCCCGAAGTTTCCAGAATATCTGCTTTCCCATCCATCAAGTCGATATCCACAGATCTTTTCAAAATCCCAGTGACAGCTCAAACCCTCCTGGTTGCGTGAACACTGCTTTCTGAGCCCGGACCTCACTGTGCAGCTGGGCAGTATTCGAGCCCCTGCCACAGCCTTCTCAACTCCAGCCAGAATATTCTATCTAAATCCTTATGGTTTTACTTTACCAGGCTGTAATTACTTCCCCAACCTGAATGTTTCCTAACTCAACAGATCTGCCTTTTCTCACCCCTTTACTTTTTAGCATCGGAACTGGGCCCATTATTAGATCAGCATATTTCATGATATGGTTTGTCAGCTATTGGGACTGAATGGCAGACTAATAGATTGGAAAGCTGGCAGTGGCTTAAAATGACCCTCCTTTCTTCTCTTTGGCAGTGAAAATCTAATTTGTTTCTCATGTTAGAATATATTAGGCGCCTATTTCCTGTGTGCACATCTGTGATCCAAAGAAAGGTAAACTTGAACTGGGGGCAATCACGTTAAATGATTATTCAGCAACATAAAAACCAAACATCAAACTTACAAGAAAATCCATATTCATTCTGGGTTCTCTGTTCAGTTGAAATAGGATAAAGGAAACCTTGAAAGGAACAAAAAATGAAACAAAAATGGGAACAAAATCAAATTAATGAGGGAAACAAAACAAGAAGCATGAAAAATGGTTTAATTAAAAGAAAAGGAAAAGAAACCTGTGGTCCTTTAAGATTCTGGTTCAGTACAGAATTATGATTTTGCATCTCCTGTCTGCTCTGGAGCCTCACCAAGAATTAATAAGTAGGCAGATTGAATTTCAGAGTAAAACTGGTCTCGAGTCACTAACTTTGGAGTGCTTAAAGTCTTTCTTTTATTGAGCATAAACTCTAATGGATCTAATTTATTTCAGACATCAAGGGTCATTAGCATAAGGAAAATCTTTTTTCCTTATCCCTGCCATATGCTTAAATTCCCAGGACATATTCAGCAAGGCTCTAAGCAGTTTTTTTCTTTTTTATTTAATCATAACAGCTTGCTCTTGGTCTAATAGAACTAAAGGAGACCTGTCATCATTGGTCAAAGGTTAAATACCCATTTACTGAGCTGAGCAGAGACCACCCTTCTTCCCTCCATCTCAAATCCACTTTTTGGAATTTTGGTTGTTTCTTGTCCCTCCATTTAAAAGGAATCCAATAGGTTTTGCCTAGGGACTGAGCAGTTTGTCAATGCAATGGAAACTGGATGCTTTTTATTTGAAATCATTCAAAAATCAATAGAGCCTAGAGATTATAAGGTTATTTATTTTAGGGCTTCAGAGGAATAGTATAAATTGAGAGAAATAAAAACCTCATCTCAACAATAAATGCAGAGATAACACTAGCAGTTTTATTTTTCTTTCTTTTTAATATATGGCAAGGTAGGAAAGATGATGATGATGATGATGATAAAAATAATGTCAAGAAGAAGACTGGGAGAAAACATTTAAAAATGGGGAATACAAATTTTTTGAAATGAAAAATCTATAAAAAATTTAAAAGGGTAACTTTTAACTGGCATCCTGAGTTTCCTAATATTTAATATTCTGCAACATATGAATGGATCAAATGATACAGTACCACTGGATTAATCAAATTAAAATGAATAAGAAGCATATGAATTAAACTTTCCTGGTAATCCTCAAGGACAAAAAAAAAATGTAGAGAACTTGCAAGAATCACAATTAATTGGTTCAAAATTAAAGGTCTGTCATGCTCGAATACTAAAGGTAACTCTAAACCGTGCCTCAGGTAGATCCTCTGTAGTTTGCAGAACACTCAGTTCTTACAAGCTATTTACCTATTTTGGGGAACTAATTCTGCGGAAACATGCAGTGCTACCTTAATGAAAGAGAGGTTTGCTGTAGCACAGACAAGTTTGCTCTGAATTAATTTTTAATGCTTTATTTTAGAGCAATGATTGCAGCCTCCTACTCAGTTTTATAAATATTATATTCCTTATTCCAGTTGTCTGAGTCCATGTATTAGGTTTGATTTTCATTTTTAAACACTTCTGTCTGGTAATAACCTTTTTCCATTTGTATTCTGTGAACTCAATAAAAGGACATCTGGGACATATACAGGCACTGGAAGAAAGGTGATTTATTTTAAAAACCGAAGACTTCAGACCATACAAGTTCACTGCCAGCAGAAGAGATAAGGTGACTGGTGTTGCCACTCTGGTAGGAAGGGTGTTAGGTAGAGGGATGTCAAAAGATTCATTTCTTGCAGGCTAGAAGGCCTGGAAACTAGTGTAAAATAGGACATCTGGGGTTGCTCCCATGTTCACCTTGAAGATTTTGTTAAGAATCAGCGTGGGCCTGCTGGAGTGAGCAGGAGAATTGTATCTTACAGAGGGAGAAGGCTACCTCCAAAGAGATACAACATGGTCGGAAATTTCTCCCTGTGAAGCAGTTCTGGGCATGCCTTGGCTTTTGTCTCCATTTCCCAACAGAATCCCTGTTCTTGACAGGCAGAGCGAGGAATAATAAAAAGGAATGTTATAATTTTGATTTTAATCTCAACTTCTCCATATTTATGTAGATCTACACAACTCAATAAATATTTTGGTGACTTACGGTATTCATCTGAGACTTCTATTTCATTCTAGGCACAGACCTGGAATTCATTCACTCATTCATTCGTCTAACGAATACTTTTGAGCCCATGTCCACGTATATACACTGGGTTCTAGTCTAGGCATGGGGGGTGCTCACTTCGGCAGCACATACACTAATATTCTAGGCATGGGGTACCATGACAAACAAGATGGGAAAAGCCACCGCTTTTGCTTTAGTTTAACAGAAAGTAAACAAGTAAAAATAATAAATAAGATCAATTCAAATGCTGAAAAAATTTCTTTTGAAAAATAGAACAAAAGAACATAATATGACTGGAGATAAAGGGATAAACAACTTAGGAAATCAGGGAGCAATTTTCTTTTGAAATGGGATTCGAGGGGCTCCTGTGTGGCTCAGTCAGTTAAGTGTCCGAGTCTTGATTTCGGCTCAGGTCGTGATCTCAGGGTTGTGAGATGGAGTCCTGGGTGTGCGGCTCAGCGCTCAGCAGGGACTCTGCCCCTCACCCTGCTCTCTCTCTCTCTCTCTCAAATAAATAAATAAATCTTTAGGAAAAGTGGGATTTGAGCTGAAACTTGAACGAGAAAGAATCAGGCAAGCTGAGATCAGGAGGGAACGATGGTCCAGAGAGGGACAGTAAATGCGGAAGTCCTGACATAAAAATGGAGCGGTGAGAGGGACGTGAGAGAGAGGAAGAGGGAGCAGGCAGGTTCAGAGGGGTGAGAAGCAGCCACACGCAGGCCTGGTGGGCCATGATGCAGCATTTTGATTTTATCCTAAAGGAGACAAAAATCCTGTGATCGAACGTAATTTTGAAAAGAGTGCTTTGGTTTTTCTCTAGATAATGGGGAGCAAAGGGAGCAAAGTGACAGGGTTTTATGGATGGTTTCTGTGAC